TTAAAAGGGTTAGGTTTTGAACATGACGCTATGCTTTGTTCATTCTCCTCAATCCCCTCAAGAATCCTTACAAAGCCAAAAGCCATATACATATATATATATATATATTTTTTTTTTAAGCCCCCCCACACCAAAAAAACAAGAGAGAAAACACAAAAAAACAAAAACAACAAAAAGCAACTGCCCAAGCTAAACCCTGCTGATGGCCTTTCTTCAGGATCCTGGGTGGTTGTTCAGTGGGGGGGAGGGGGGGGGGCATCCCCTAGATCTTCCCTGTTCAGCGCCAGAAATTGCCCTACCCATGACCCTAAAGGGTTTAGGGTTTTGGGTTTAGGGACCCTCAACCCTAAACCCTAAACCCTAAACCCTAAACCCTCCTGAACTCCCTAAGCCCGCCTTCACTCGACTTGAGGATCTTCGGCTTCAACACGGCTGGCAGTGCCGACCGCCGCCGGCTTGTGGCCAACCAACATCCCGTGTGGGAGCGCAGGGGCTCAAGCGTTTGGGATGTTCGGTTTCTAGGACCCAGAGTAGGCCCTTATTCCTTTTTTTGTTTGGCTTAGCTTCCCTTCTAAGCCACAAGGGGTACCCTTATCTATTGCTAGGTTACTCTTGGGTCTCGGTTTAGGGAGGGCATTGAACATCCTAAGGCCCACAGGACCCTCCAGAAGAGGGACTTGTACCTCCTAGGAGGCCTTATAGTTAGGGTACTAAACCCTACGAGCATCCCAAGCCCGTCAGCCCTGAACCCCTTTCCCCTACACCCTACACCCTAAACCCTAAACCTTAAACCCTAAACCCTACACCCTAAACCCTAAACCCTACACCTGAATGAAAGATGCCTCTGTTTCTTCGGCGCGCGGGCGTTGGTTCTTGGTCTCCTCCTGCCAACTCAGAATCCAAAATCGTGAGTTTAGGGTTTAGGGTTTAGGGTTTAGGGTGTAGGGTGTAGGGTTTAGGGTGTGGGGTTTAGGGTGTAGGGTTTAGGGTGCGACTTCCCGAGGGCAAAGCGGCAAAACGTCTCCAAGCCAGCGCCTGCAACGACAACGCTAGGTGAAGAGCTGCATTCTTAGGAACCCTAAACCCTAAACCCTAAACCCTAAAACCCTGAACCCTAAACCCTAAACCCTAAACCCTAAACCCAACAGGATCTACTTTTTTAGACTCTTCCAGGGGGTCTGGGGGTCTGACAGCTGTCCGTCAGGAGTGGCCGGCTCATTGGCCGGACAAGGCACACGCCGGCCATGCCAACCCCCCTCGTGGGGGGGTCGTTGCGCCGCCCGCCTGCATCATCGCGGTTTAGGGTTTAGGGTTTAGGGTTTGGGGTTTAGGGTTTAGGGTTTAGGGTTTAGGGTTTAGGGCCTGAAGCGCCAGAGCCCCAAAGGCCCTGAACCCTCCAAACCCGACAGACCCTACAAGCCCGTCAGACCTATAGTTAAACCCCAGAAACCCTGTACACCCCCAAAGCCCCAAACACCCTACAAGCCCTATAAACCCCCAAAGACCACCGAAGCAACCAAAACGCTCATAAATCCTGTAAACCTTAATGGCACCTAAAAACCTCCCAGGCGTACAGGGGTTCAGAACCCTAAACCCAAAAAGCCTGAACACTATCTGGTTGTTTAGCTTGTTGGGACTTCTGGACAGAACTGGCCCCTGAAGTAATTCTGAGACACTGACCCTGGCTCGTCAAATTGCCCCAATCACTGGGACAGTTTGTTCTGCAAACGTCCGGAGAACGATACCCATCTCATGCTCATGATGCTGGGGCAGCCTGTTCTGCAAGCGTCCGGGGCTTTGCGGGCCGCACCCAGCTGATGCTCATGATGCTCGCCTCCTGGCTCGTCAAATCGCCCCAATCACTGGGGCAGTTTGTTCTGCACGGTTTTGGGGCTTAGGGGCTCGTCAAATCGGCGCAGTTTGTTCTGCAAGCGTCCGGTGCTTAGGGGGCCGTGTGGCCAGAACAGTACCCAGCTGATGCTCATGATGCGGGGCCCCTGATTCAGTTTGTTCTGCAAGCGTTCGGGGCTTAGGGGGCTGTGTGGCCAGAACACTACCCACTGATGCTCCTGATGCTCGCCTCCTGGCTCGTTGTGCAAGCGTTCGCGGCTTAGAACACCAAGCAGCTGATGCTCCTGATGCTCGCCTCCTGGCTCGTCAAATCGCCCCAATCACTGGGGCAGTTTGCTCTGCAAGTGTCCAGTGCTTAGGGGGCCGTGTGGCCAGAACTGTACCCAGCTGATGCTCATGATGCTCGGCTCCTGGCTCGTCAAATCGCCCCAATCGCTGGGGGGGAGTGTTCTGCAAGCGTCCGGTGCTTAGGGGGCCGTGTGGCCAGAACAGTAAGCAGCTGATGCTCATGATGCTCGCTTCTGGCTCGTCAAATCGCCCCAATCACTGGGGCAGTTTGCTCTGCAAGCGTCCAGTGCTCAGGGGGCCGTGTGGCCCCAGCTCTAAACCCGTTAAGTTCCCCATTTAAGGGCCCGTACTAATTGAACATGTAACTACTCTAAAAGTTTAGGTTTTCCACCCTGGACACGAAACCTTGTTAACGGAGACGCGCTTCGTCGACACTGCCGGATCGACAACTCAAGAAACGTTGTCAATCGGGAAGAGAAAATCTTGTAGATCGAGGCGACTTCAAAAAGCAACCGAAACCGGAGGACACAAATGCAAGAAAGCACTTCCTAAAGACAGGAAAACACCGGCCGAGCACTTATTTGTTTGATGTTCTCCTCCGACAAGAAAGCTTGTCGATCGACTAGATTTCTAGATGATCGACAAAAGTTCTTGTCGATCCCAGTGTTAAGGCATAGTCATGCCAGCAGATTTTGTTCCGATGGAGTCTTGTTGGCGAGAGAACAAATGCCTTCGTAACTGTAGTCCTCCTCATACTCAGTGTAATAGTACTGCGTTTGTGCAAGCATGAAGACGTATCGTGGCCCGAACTAGACCTGGGCGACCCTGGGCGGCACAAAGCGTGCTTATAGGGCTTATACTAGGAGTGGGAGTAGGCCCTTTTTTCCTTTTGTTTTTTTTGGGTTGGGGTTCCCTTATAATCCCCTTAACACCAAAAAGGGTACCCTTTTTATTCCTAGGTGACTCCCGGGTCACCCTAAACCCGAAACCCTAAACCCTAAACCCTAAACCGGGCCTTATAGGAGTTGACAGGGTTTGTACGGCTTATAGCGCTTACACGCTTGAAAAGGTATCAGGCCAGGCCCCAGTTTCTCGAAACAGAGTTTAGGGTTTAGGGTTTAGGGTTTAGGGTTTAGGGTTTAGGTTTAGGGTTTACTGTCCAGAACCCTCCTGCAAAAACGATCCCCCCCCCCCCCCCCTCCTCCCGGAACTTCCTGAAGCCAACCGCGCACAAGAATGTCCAAAGCCCTGCCCCACGCAAGTTAAAAGGCAGCACAGGGGAAACCATTGAGTTGGCCTGTTTTGAGACTTGTAGGGTTGAGGGTTTAGGGTTCAGGGCTTCGGATTTAGGGTTTCAACTTCCCTTCAGGGCTGACTGCATGCCAGCTTTCATTGTGCTACTGTAAGTTGTGTGTCTGGTCTGGCCTTGAACCCTAAAGCCTAAACCCTAAACCCTAAACCCTAAACCCTAAACCCTAAAACCTAAACCCTAAACCCTAGACCCTAAACCCTAAACCCAAGAGCGGGTGACAAGGGGGTTCGGGGGATGGCTGCTTGGTTTTGGCTCGTAACCCGCCTTTTAGAGCCGCCGCCACCCCCGCCGAGCCCAGCGACACCGCCCCTAAACCCTAAACCCTAAACCCTAAACCCTAAACCCTAAACCCTAAACCCTAAACCCTAAACCCTAAACCCTCTGGAGCTGTCAAGTGCCAGCTCGGTCCTTCAAGTCCCATGGAAGAAGCGGCCCTCAACCCCAACAGCAAAGTCTTTAGGGGGTCTAACCCTAAACTTTAATCTCTTAGCTAACCCTAAACCCTAAACCGTAAACCCTAAACCCTAAACCTTGCACGTCACTGAAGGTCGAACATGACTATGAACTTTCCAGACCTGCGTGCAACATGCTGCTTGAATGTGGTTCCCACGCAGGCAAGCTGCTCACATTATGGGGGTTTAGGGTTTAGGGTTCAGGGTTTAGGGTCGTATATTATGGGGGGGGGGGGGGGGTTTCCGAAAATAGGGGTACCCTTTTTGGGGTTCCTTCAAAGGATCGATTTTGGGGGGCACAAAAGGGGTACCCCTATTTTGGGAAATGCCCATATTCGAGGACCCAGCGGGCCCTTATTCCCCTTGATCTCGGGGTTTAGGTTCTCTTCTAAGCCCCTTTGAACCAAAAGGGCACAATTTTGTTGCTGGGTTACACTTGGGTCTAGGTGTCTGTGCCGACTGTCATGTGGCCAGCCCTGCTGCGCCTGCGTGGTTTAGGGCCCAGGCCTTAGGGGTTTAGGGTTTAGGAGTTTAGGAGTTTAGGAGTTTGGGAGTTTGGGGTTTAGGGTTTAGGGGTTTAGGGTTTAGGGTGGCACTGTCTGCAGTGTTCTGCAGGCACTGACGGAAATTTTCTTGGCCCACGAGGGCGAGATTCACAAGAGGACCCTGGGCCAACGAAGCCCTGGTAGCTCGGGGAGTAGCTACATGTGGGGGTTTATGATACTAGGGTACCTTCTTGGGGTCCTTCTGATAAGGGGTTGCTACTATTTGGGGGTCTATCTTAGGGATCCCTTATTATCGTAAACCCCCATGTGGGTAGCCTCAGCTGCATGCTTGAGAAGATGAACTGGGAAACTGCAGTGTGTATAGTGACGGCTTGACATGCGCGCCAAGAGTGCTAACCAGTCATCAGAGTGAGATACGATAAGAAGATAGGCCTTTGTTGTTGGAGATGTATTTGGTGTTTTTGCAGTCATTATGTCATAAATCAGTCCCAGTTTCGTCTGACCACCCCAAACCCTTGACCCTATACCCTAAACCCTAAACCCTAAACCCTAAACCCTAAACTTTCCGTTCTCAGGATCTTTGGGCCCAGGATGCTGAACCAGTTTCGGGCCGTGAAGGAGATCTTGCTCGCGGGGGATACCAACCGACTCTTGGCTGAGACCATACGCATTTTCCGATGATTCAAGAAGTCCACTCAAAGACCCAATAGCCAAGCTTAGCCCCTAAATCCTGAACCCCAAACCCTAAACCCTAAACCCGGCTTCATCTTTCAGTCATTTCCGGATCTGTTCCGCCTTTCCGGCTTTGTCCGGCCGTTGCATTTTGATCGAGGCCGCCCTGCTGGGGAGACTGAATCCCAGCAGTCTTCACCCTAAACCCTATAGCCCTAAACCCTAAACCCTAAACCCTATAGCCCTAAACCCTAAACCCTAAACCGTGAACCTTAACAGTGTGTGCTGTCAGGAAAAGAGGTTTTGGAAGCGACAATTTCATAGCGCTGAGCAGCACTGAGCACCGACACAAAGCACGGACGCCTGGTAACTCCACAAAATGACTACGATCACCCGAAAACCTAAACCCTAAACCCTAAACCCTAAACCCTAAGTGAGGGCGATATCCCACTTTGTAGACACAAAAAAGCTTTCGAAGTCCAGCGAGTTCGGCGCAGTGCTCCCCTAGCCCCATCTCTGCACCAGGCATTCTCTGGGTGTACGGTTTAGGGTTTAGGGTTTAGGGTTTAGTGTTCAGGGTTTGGGGCCTAGAGTTTTGGGTTATGCCAAACCGCAAAGTTTAGGACTGATTCATCCTTTGCCAGCACCCCAAACCCTGAACCCTGAATCCCAACCGTAAAAACTAGCCCCAAAAGCCCAAAGCCGTAAAACCCTACACCTAAACCGCAACCCGCAACCCGGCAGATGGGGTTTAGGGTTTAGGGTTTAGGGTTTAGGGTTTAGGGCAGACGGTCAGGTCTCGTGGCGGAACTTACCTTCGTACGGATCAATGACCTGGCAGCTCCCCCCGAGCCCATGCATCCGTTGATGACCCTTGACTTTAAGGTTGGAACCATGGGCCCTTATTATGTGTTTTTGTTGTATTATTATGTTTATTGTTATCTCTTAAATGCCTGTCGCTTGACAAGGGCATAGGGTTGCTGAGTTTAGGAGTTTAAGCGCTATAAACCAAAAGCCCTTATTAACCCCAAACCCTAAAACCCCCCAAACCCTCAACTCCAAACCCCCTAAACCCCAATCCCTGAAACCCAAACCCTGCAACCTGCTTAGAGGTTCGACTTGGGGGTGCTTTTGTTAGCTCTTGAGTTCGCAGAAGCCCTGAGCACAAAGTCCTCAGCAAAACCGAACCTCACAGAGGCTACCGGTTTAGGGTTTAGGGTTTCGGGTTTCAGGGTTTCAGGGTTTCAGGGTTACAGGGTTTAGGGTTTAGGGTTTGGGGTTTCAGGGTTTGGGAGATGTTTCATGGGTTTAGCGCTAGTATTGCTGGCAGAAGCGGTGCGGTGGTGGCGAGGATCATCTGTCGGGGCGCACGGGTGTGCTGGCCAAGGGGTGCCCTCGGTACTGGGTGTTGGAGAGCCTATACCTAGAAAGAAAAACCTTTTTCCAGGGTCTACTCCAAAGTAGGGGGTAACACGGACATCATCGTTGTTCAGGTTCAGGTATGCATGCTCTGGCCAGTGGATGCTTTCTGTAGAAAGGACAAAAGCATCGTTCGCGCATGTATGCTCTCTACCATTCCCACTACTTTTCCTGCAGACTCCACAACGACGACTTCGCCTTCGATTTCTATTCTACTTCCACTTCTACCTCCACCTTCAACACCACTCCAACTCCTACCCCCCCTGCAGCACCGAAGCGAGCAAAGCCAGTCTTGAGGAGCCTGTTTCGCCCAGGTACCTGGAGCCCTTCGTCGCAGTTCTCATCGTGGCCTGGGTTGTAGTCATGAGCATGGGATGGTGGGATGGAATTACATCCGACCATCCAGCCTGAACTCTTAAACGCTACAATAAGCCCCTAGCCACTCCAAGCACAAGGACCCCGCCCGGAACACCCCAAATCCTCCCAAGCCCTGCACTCTACACCCTAAAACCAGGTAGCTCAGAGCCGGCACTTGAGCAGCTGAGGTGGGCAACGGAGTCATGATAGGATTTCAAACTGATCCGGCCTTTGAAAGTTGGGGCGGCTTCTTCTACTTCGAGCTGGTGACCTGCCTGCAGTGTGATTGGGTTGAGGGTTTGCTGAGCGAAAGGGTTTAGGGTTTAGGGTTTAGGGTTTCCCCCCCCCCCCCCCCCCCTCCCTCCCCCAACCTGAAGAGCTTGAAGTCTGGGGGCTGGGGAGCGGGTCTTAGGGTTTAGTGTCTTAGGGTCTTAGGGTTTAGGGTTTAGGGTTTAGGGTTTAGGGTTTAGGGTTTAGGGTAATTACCAACTCCTGGGGGCCAAGTCTGACGCCATTCCAATTGGGGTCCGTATTATAAGGGGATCCTACTATTTGGGGATCCATATTGTGGGGGTCCCCTATTTTCCAGGATTGGCTATTAGGCCCTATAATCCCCATAATCAACCCTATAAAGGGCCTTTTTAAAGGGGTTATAGGGTCTAATAGCCCATCCTGGTTCGTAAACCGCCAAATATATACATGTGTAAACCCGTTTACAGGCGAAACACGCGAAGCAAGCTAAACGTCGAGCCGCTGGCCACCACGGGAGCGTTGTTGTCTACTACTTGATTAAGAACCCCCCCAACCAAAAAACATAGTAATCCCTACATTGCCCTAGCAAGAAAGAATGTTCTGTTTTGACTTTTGTTGGGGGGTTCTTAGGCAAATAGTAGTTTTTGACGGAGGTACAAGTTGCTGAAAAGGACTGCGTGAAGTCGACTGCTCACTCATGCACGAAGTCATGAGGAAGAGTGGGGGCGGGATGTCAGTTGGGGAACAACATATTCCACTCCGCGGGGTCAAGAGGAAGGGGGGTGGAGGGGGAGGCGGAGGGGGAGGCGGAGGGGGAGGCGGAGGGGGAGGCGGAGGGGGAGGCGGAGGGGGGGGAGCGGGGGGAGGGGGGGGGGGGGGGGGGAGCAGCCCTGCACCAAATAGAAAAATAAATAGATACCAATAAAAAAATAAATATATATATATGTACATACATATATGTATATGTATGTATATATATACATATTCATATATGTGTGCATTTGCTTATACCCGGTGTTTCAGAGAAGATGCCGCTTGTGTTACGGAAGCCTCCTGTGTCGCACCTTCTTGGATCAACGGGCAAGAGTGTTGATGCGCCCCACCCTTGTGCGATCAGGTCTTTGCCATCTTCATCTGGCTTGAGATTTTCTTGCGGATCCACTTGTTGAAGTGCGCGGCATACTGGTGTGGACAGGAGCGCTACTGGAATTGGTTCGACATCTTTTTAGCCGGTACAGGAGTGGCCGACATTGTCTTGCAAATTGCGTCGAATGGGGCGACGGACATCTTCGGCGCATCGCTTCTCAGATTCTGCCGACTGATCAGACTTGTCCGGATAGTGAAACTTGGTCCCCCCCAGTGGTGCCTTTTTTGCTCTTGGGCTCAAGGTACCCATATGAATGTAGCCACACACCCCCCCCCCCCCAAAAAAAAAAAAACATAACAAAAATCTAAGATAAAGAAAAAAACAAAGTTCTAAAATAAAATAGAAAATAAATAATAGAATGAAATAAGAAGACTTGAAAAATAAGAACAAAAGTAAGTACCCTTATCATTTTCTGGGTATAGGGCCCCTAAGGCCCTAAACCGCAAACCCTAAAACCCTAACACCCTAGCACCCTTAAAACTCAAAAACCCTAAAACACTAAAACCCTGAAACCCTACAACCCTCAAACCCTCAAACCCTCAAACCCTGAAACCCTAAAACCCGGAAACCCGCAAACCCTAAAACCCTGAAACCCTGAAACCCTAAAACCCTCAAACCCTAAAACCCTAAAACTCTAAAACCTTGAAACCCTAAAACCCTCAAACCCTCAAACCCTGAAACTCGGAAACCCTCAAACCCTGAAACCCAAAAACCCTAAAACCATAACACCCTAAAACCCTAAAACCCTAAACCCCTGAAAACCCTGAAACCCTAAACCCCTGAGCTGCTTCTTGGGTTATCAAGGAAGTTATTCCGCGTGAAGTTCATCCACAACCCTAAACCCTAAACCCCAAACCTTAAACCCTAAAACCCTAAAAAGGAAGTTATTCCGCGTGAAGTTCATGAAGGACCTGCGCCTCATGGTCAAGGGCCTGGTTGCTGGCACTTGACCTGCAAGTTCCGGGTTTTTCGGGGGCGCGCTCGCGCTTTAGGGTTTAGGGTTTAGGGTTTAGGGTTTAGGGCTTAGGGCTTAGGGCTTAGGGCTTAGGGCTTAGGGCTTAGGGCTTAGGGCTTATAGGGCTGAGGGTTTACTGGAAAGGGCTTAGGCATGAGTTTGAGCAATGCGGACTTATGAGTTTGGGGGCAAGGGGCGTGGGGGGTGGACGGTTGAGGCATCCGGACACTGGCGCTGGCTTTCGCCTTGCTCTTCGCCGTTCTTTACGTCATCTCGGGCTTTGCAACGATCACCATCGGCTCTAGCACCATCGCCGAGGAAGAGGAGCTCCAGCGCTACTTTGCCAACATACCGGAGTCCATGTTCACGGCTTTCCGGTGCTTCACCGGCGAGTGCATCACTGATAAAGGGGAGCCTATTCAAGCACTTCTGGCTCGGCACTTTGGACTGGTTTTTGTGCTGCCTTTCGTTGCAAGCTACATGCTTGTGTCGATGGGAATTTTCAACGTGATCCTCGCTGCGCCTTGCCGCCCGAAGGTGATCTTTTCTCCATAGTTTATCTATTGATCTTGCTTCTGCAGTGTTGTTGTGTTCCTGTTCAGTTCGGTGCTGGTTACACGGCCTTCGTGGGATTCCTTGTGAGTCAGACCTGGGGCTCTTTCAAAAAGCCGACTGGCCTACCTACTTCTCACTTGCTTGAGTTTCGTTACCCTGCAAACCCTAAACCCATAGCCCTACACCCTAAACCCTAAACCCTAAACCCCTTAACCTCTCAGAGAGGTCTACGTGGACATCACGATGAGAGCTGCCAAGGAGAACGATGCGACGACCGCGGAGCAGCACTCCCGTGAGTCCATACGCATCGCCCGCGTGACGCGGGAGCTGAGTGAGCACACTTTGGGTTTAGGGTTTAGGGTTTAGGGTTTAGGGTTTAGGGTTTGGGGTTTAGGGTTTCGGGTTTCGGGTTTAGGGCTACTCTAATTCCCTATAGAACTGAAAGTGTACACTTTTTTTGGAGGGGGGCTTATGAACTCAGCAACTAAGGTTACGAGGGAGCTCCTGAAGAAGTTCGCGTCTGCCCACCACCAGCCTCTCGGGAGCCCAGAGTGTTTTTGTTGTTTAGGGTTTAGGGTTTAGGGTTTAGGGTTTAGGGTTTAGGGTTTTTGGTTAAAGGGTTTTTTTTGGGTTTTCCTTATCAAGGTAACCATCAGCCTCTTCGGAGCCCAGAGTGGTACCCTTCTTACTTTTTTTTGGGGGGGGGTTGTGGGTTGCCTTATAAGAGTAGCCAACACCCCACAAAAAGAAGGGGAGCGCCCTTTGTGTTATAGTAATATGGCTACCGGGCTACCAAGGTTTCAGGAGGATGAGAAGCACGCGGCCTTCTCCAGCAGGGCACCAACACTGCACATCAGTCACAAGACCTCCTTCTTCACCGACGAGGAGATCAACGACAGCATGGAAATCAGCAAGGAGCTCTTTCTGCTGGTCATCCAAGATTACCATGTGGCCGGCCTGACAAGAACATAGGTTTAGGGTTTAGGGTTTAGGGTTTAGGGTTTAGGGTTTAGGGTTTAGGGTTTAGGGTTTAGGGTTTAGGGTTTAGAGTTTAGGGTTTGGGGCCTTTGATCCGGGACATGCTGGAGTCGTTTTGGGCTCCTTGCTGCCCTGGGTTCACTCCTCGCACGCTGCGCACCTCCAACCACAACCCCCTAAACCCTAAACCCTACACCCTAAACCCTAAACCCTAAACCCTAAACCCTAAACCCTTGTCAGGTACAGAGCCTGATGGACGACCTGGACTTGCCGCCGGATCGCGCGAACCTCTTCGAAGTCATCGATGCCGATGGCAGTGGGACCTTAAAGCTAACTGAGCTGGTGCAAGGTCGGGATGCCCAGCGCTTTAGGGTTTGGGGGTTTAGGGTTTAGGGTTTAGGGTTTAGGGTTTAGCGTTCCCTAAGGATCCATGTAACACAGGGGTCGGAAGAATTCCCAATAGTATCCCCTAATTGTCCCTTCAGAATTTTACGATAGTAACCCCCCAAACCCTGTTAAAAAATGATTGAGGCCCCTATATTACGTATATGGTATATACTTGGCCCTTAAGGGGGTTCCTACACATTAGCTTTAGGGGCCAAGTATATACCTAGGACCGGGAGTAGGCCCTTTTTCATTTTTTTTGGGTTGGGGTTCTCTTATAATCCCCTTAAACCCAAAAGCGTACCCTGTCTGCCGGGTCTAGATACTATACAGGTACATGGATCCTTAGGTGTTGCACATGGAACTTTCTTTCAGCCCTTTTAGGCCTGGGGATCGCTAAACCTTGAATCCCCAAAAACGCTACTTCCGTTTCTTAGGGTTTAGGAGTTTAAGGTTCCCTTGTAAAACGCTCCATAGAAGCCAAGAACAAAAATGTTATACTTTTTGGTTTAAATGTTCTTTGGGCAACCTCGAAGGTTTGCTGAAGATCCGCGGAGCTCCCAGACTGCAGTTGTGTTGGATGCACTGTTTGGGATCATTGGGGGTCTGTAAGGCTGCCTTCAGCCGACTGCGAAGCGAATTTTCTTCCTTTCAGGTAGCCGACCACCTTGCAGTAGCCTTGCTTAGCCAGTAGTTGACCTTTCAACTTCTTTAGGTTTCCCTATTTAGTAAGAAAAATGAAGTTTTACTTTTTTTTATTCCTTGGTTGTTGGAGAAGAGAGTAGCAGGGGCGGCAGGGATAGACCCAGCTCCAGTTCTCCCAACTGGGTTTAGGGTTTAGGGTTTAGGGTCCCCTTCGCGTTCCCCACAAAGAGAGCTGACGGTATATCGTCCACCCTATTCCCCCCCCCCCCCCCCCACTGTGTAAGGAGATCAACAAGAGCGATACCGTGGCGGCTCTACTGGCCATCAAGGCTGTGCAGAGTATGGTCGGTGAGATGAAGGAGGACTTAGGGCCTTCCTTTCTTCAAAACAGAGCCCGTCCCCGACGGTAGTTCCACTTCTTGGTTGCCTAATTTTCTTGCTTTGGTTTACAAGCTGGACCGTAAAGAAAATAGGTCCCGGCCTGTCGACCTTGCATTGTGTGGAGCATGTTGTGGCACAAGTAGGGTCCACCAGTAAACCGCTCCTCCTCAGACATTGCTAGAAGATCCTGCGCCAGGTCAGGTCATCGCTGAGCAAAAGAACAACCGACAAGCTTTGTCCTGCGACCCCCCCTCCCCCACCCCCAACACACGCAAGCCCTGCCCCATGGTAGTGGCTGATTTTGGGACTGGCCGTGAATCCATGAAGGTGCTTGCTACCGCAGCTACACTTGAATCTTCACGCCTACGTGCACCTATACGGCGAACTATAGCTACACCGCCGGCCATGAGCTGTAACCCTAATGGCCCTAGTGTCACGAACTTCCCATAGAACCTCAAAGAAGTCTTCGATTCGAGATTCCGGCACAGCTGACAAGGTTCAGCAGGTTTCGAGGTTCAGATCGGGTCGGGGTTTCGGGTTTAGGGTTCAGGGTTGCTTGAGGATTCATTCCAGGTTTCATGGCTTTGGGCGTCGGGTTCAGGAGTTCAGGACCGGGTTCGGAAATCCACAGGAGAGCTCGCAACACTTGGAGTCCTTGAGGAGAGACTTGGAGAAGCGGCGTGGCGCAAATTGGAGGGCGCAAGCCTTTGCGGTGTTTAGGGTTGGGGTCGGTTTCAGAACTGCCCGGGAAGGGAGGTGGGGGGGGGGGGGGGGTTCGGAACTTTGCACCTACTTGGAGTTCCGTGAGGTAGTTATAAGTACCCCAAATCGGGTTATAAGTATGGTTGCTATCGATATTTTAGCGACCCATGAACCCTCAAGCAAGTCACACCAAAACCATCCCAGATGAGGTCACAAGCCCTAAGTGCCCTAATATGGCCACAAGTATAGCTATAAGTACAGTTACCCTAAACCCGAAACCCCAAACCCTTGGGTTCATAAGTACCATGAACCTCCAAGTAAGCTCCCTCACACGCTTGCCCGGTGGCACCCTCGGGCTCTTTTTGGGGCTGCGGGTACCCCGACTAGTTCAGGGTTTAGGGTTTAGGGTTCAGGGTTTAGGGCTCAGGGTTTGGGCCACCAAGCCGCCCTGCCAGAAGGAATGGATGAGTGTTGGACGCAGAACCCAGGGAATGGATCGGGAACGCGACGGAGAGCAACACAGAACAGTTTAAGGGACCGAAAGCACATTCACGCGCAGTGCCTTGGCAGTAGGCGAGGCGAGGCATGCAAAGAACGAAAGGAAACAGGAGAGCAAGAACGGGCACTGCTTTTTGTCAGTTCATGTGATCATTATGGGGAGGACAGTTTAGCACCGAGTATGGTAGAAGTTGCCGAAGGGTTTTTTCCGTTACCATTTTTCCAGCCGGCCCACACACGGCAAGGAAACAAAGCCAAGTCCAAACTCTACGCACCCTGAGCAACGGGCCCTGCAGGCCCCAAGCAGGCCTAAGCTCCAGTACCCAGAGACTCCAAGGCTCCATTGCGGCCGCCCACGGCGACCACTAATTGACGTTGCCCCACTTGCCCCACTTGCTTTGCCAGAAGAGCTAATTGATGTTGCCCCACTTGCATCACTTGCCCCACTTGGTGGCCCGGAAGAGTTAATTGATTTAGCCTCACCTGCCCTTGCCTCACTTGCCCCACTTGCCTCACTTGCCCCATTAGCCCCATTTGCCCCCTTTGCCCTGCTTGCCTCGCTCGCCTTGCACGGCTTTCACAGCAAGGGGGCAGGCACCACAAGTCTGCCTCAAACCGGTCTGTCTTTTGAGGCAAACTCTGTGGCTATAGGGCAGGGCAACATGGGGCAAGTGCGGGAAGTAGGCCCTCGCCCCCGCGTCCGCTGGCCTCTTGAACTCAAGAGGCTCGGCCTGCCCCAACCCTAAGTCTTTGAGGCAAATTTGCGGTTGGGCCCCGCAGCTGCCCCCTCCCCCCTTCGCTGCCATGACTTTGACGGCAAGGGGGCGGGGGGGGGGACGGCTCTGACCTTAACCACAAGTGGTTAAGGCAGACTTGTGGCCAGGGCCAGGCCGCACCACTGAACATGGACAAGTGGGGCAAGTGACAGACTTCGCTTATCGCAACGCAGAGCAAGTGGGGCAAGTGGGGCAGTGTCGTTTTCTGCTCTTCTGAGGGACCAGAGCATGTCGGGCAAGCGGAGCAAGTGGCAGAAAACCCTTAGCGGTGGAGGCTTGCATGCCCACTAGGCCCATTGATCTTAATCCCTTCCCCCAAATACTAAATCCCTCCCCCCCCCCCCCCCCCCCTATTTCTGAAATTCGCCTGGGTCCGAAAAATATTTAACATTAGGGGGGGGTCTAAATCCTAAGGCCTGAATTCCGAAACTCCTAATGGCTCAACTCAAGGGCGGCCCTGAACCCCTCCCCCCCAATTCTCAAACAGGTTTAGTATTGGGCTGGGTGCCGGCAGGGTCCGGGAAAAATATTATTTAAAATAAGGGGTGGTTTTAGTATTAGGGGGAAGGGATTAATGCGTTCTAAGAAATATTCCCTTCTTGAGGAATATTGGCGTCTCTGAGCCCTCAACACTAAACCCTAAACCCTAAACCCTAAACCCTAAACCCCCAACCTCCGGGCAGAATGCTTCGAGGCAGGTCGTTGCTCTTCGCGACAGGCCTGCGATGCGGTTGGACAGTAGCTCGGCCCACCCTTAGGATGGTCTGAGGTATTTCTCTTGAGGATGTTCCACGAGCCCCGGAGAAGGGTTTTAGGGTTAGGGTTTAGGGTTTAGGGTTTAGGGTTTAGGGTTTAGGGTTTGGGGTTTGGGGTTTGGGGTTTGGGGTTTGGGGTTTGGGGTTAATCGGGATGTTCGGGTTGCCGGGTATGTTGGGGTAAATTGTTGGGGTTATTGGTGTCTCGTTCAGGGACTGCGCAGGAAAAGGGCCGGCCCACCTTCAGTCAACATCTGGTGGTGCACCGTTGCGCCGTTGCTGGTTGTTCGGGTGTTCGCTGTAAGAGTGTAGGGTTCAGGGTATACAGGTCAGACAGGCGAGAAGGCTCAGGGGTGAACTTGCGTTTTCAGGAGCCCAGGGTCAGCATCGTCATGTCGTGATACTGTACCTCTGCGAGAGGTCGGAAAGAAGTGGGTCTTTCCCCAATCCTTGAACCGTCTTTGAGGCAAGCCCAAGGAGAACGAACCGCCAAGCGAGCTCTTGGCTGAGCTGGACCACCGGGGCAGGGTTGGGGGGGGGGAGCGAGGGGAGGACGGGGCCTTGGATTTCTTACTTTAGTACAGCAAGCCCTAAAAGGTTTAGGTTTTAGGCTTTAGGGTTTTGGGTGTTGAGCTTTGATTTCAGGGTTTGGGCGGGGAGTTGTGGGGTGGGGGGGGGGGTTTGGGAGGTGCACGAATTGGTGCAGTTCAGACTTAAAGACTGGAATATCAATTGCAATGGGAATCCTACTTGAATAGGGTAAAAGGAAGCATTCCTTTGTGCAGGGACATTGGAATCCGGGTTTCCAGTTGAAAAGATACCCACACGAAGCCCGGCAAGCATGCTTTTCCGAGAATTCCGTACAAAGTAGCGAGATAACTATGGACTAACCGTGACCCTCAAGTAATTTCCTTACCTTTCAGAAGAGAGACCTACCAATGGGGAAGATGCATATAGGGATGAACAACCTAGAGGGTTCAACGTGGTTTGAACTTGAACTGTTAAACCCTGAGCCCTAAACCCTTGAACCCTTACACCGCGGCAGCCACACGCACAAACTCCGCCTGCTCCCAACTCATTCTGCTACACTACTTGAAAGATCTTTGGCAAGTACAAGTAGGTTTTTTGTACTACAAGGACCCCAACTAGGGGTATCCCCGCTTACGGCACAGCTTGCTGCACATTGATGTTTACGCATGAACCTCTAACCAGGCGAAGCCACCAAAACCTGCGCAGGACCGTGCCGCTCTGATGAAGACTGACCTCGTCAAGGAGCTTGTCGGGGCTGTCAACTGACATACGTCCATTCGCATGCACGCACCCATACTTACGTACATGCATACATACTTACATATGTGCTACCTTACATACCTACATGCTTACATACATACATCCACACACGCTACAGATACATCTGTGCATGAATGTGCACATATACATATCCATATACATACACATACACATACACACATGCACATACATATATACATACATACATACATACATACATACATACATACATACATGCATACATATGCAGACATGCATACATGCATACATGCATACATGCATACATGCATACATCATACATACATACATACATACATACATACATACATACATACATACATACATACATGCATGCATGCATGCATACATGCATACACACATACGTACATACATACATACATACATACGTATGTATGTCTGTATGTATGTATGCGTGCATGCAGTATGCATACCGATGCATATTCCCAATGTTTGCATGTGTGTATCAACAGTGTGTGCCACATAGGTTCGATAGGGAGGGAGAGCGGGAGGGAGAGAGGGAGGGAGGGAGGGAGGGAGGGAGATCGTGAGAGGTATGAAAAGAGCAGCCAGAGCGAAGTACATGTATTAGACACAACAAAAATGGAATGGAACGAAATGAAGGCAAAAGACAGAAATTCAACCATGGCCATCATTGAGACCGTGGGTGTTCATTCTGCTGAATGCAGGTCGTTTGAATCGAAAGCGGCGCGCTAGTGATCATGCCCATGGGTGGGATTTAGTTTCTATAGTGTCAAGTCATGTCGTAGCCTGTTGATGAGAGGATTGTGCTGCAGGTGCTGACTTGTGCAAAATACCTGCAGGACGATTGCGCGCTCTCGCTGGTTCTGTCTTGGCCCCAGTGCATGTGGCAGTCACAGGGGCTTCCGACAGACGAAGCTGTACCTTGGGCACGGGAACAATAATCCCTCATAGGTATATTAATTATGAAGCCATTTATGGTTCACTTGGTCACAGGGTATGCTCATATTAGGTAGTACTTTTGCGGACTTCTTTTTCACAGTGCTGATGTACGATTCTACATGTGCGCATGGCCCCACTTAGGGGAGCCCTTAAGCTCTAGACCCCAAATAGAGTCAAACCCCTTTATAGCCGCACCCCATCAAAAAAGGCACCCTGCATTTTGGGAAGCCCTCGGCCACACCCCACCCCCCCCCCCCGCCCATGTCTTTTTACATCTGAGGCCCCCTCCCCGCCGCCCGGAGGCAGTCCTTGCTGACGTCGAAGTACAGCCACCATCGGTGGGGCTTACCGTAGAATAGCGTCACCGGCTGCCATCCAACGGATGTTCAGTCCATGTGCCGCCGAGATGCCGGAGTCGCTGAGGGAGCAGCCCAGAAGTCGCCAATTTAGGCATAGCATGCTTGGAATAATTTTTATTTCTTGGGCACTGTAATTCCTACAGCTAAGATTCTACTTTTTGCAACAGTTCCAAGTTCAGTATAGCTCTATGTAAATCCGATGAACACATACTGAATCTGAACACATGCATCGTGTACGCGTATGTTGTGCGAGTCATGTTGGTCGACACAATAGTTGACCGCCAAAATGCAATGTGGCGTACATTGCGTACAGTGCGCGCATTTGCACAATACATTGCCGTACCTTACATTGCATGTTTGCGCAGGCATTCATACAGACAGATGCACGGAAGTACATACATGCACACGTGCACGCGTAAATTCATGTGCACACATATGTCCGTTCACACGTAGATGTACATCCATAGACATGCGCACGTACGTACCTGCATACCTTCATGCTTTTTGCAGACCTATACACTGGCGTACCTCTACCCTACCTACCCTAGCATACCCCATCGTACGAGAGCATACCGCACATAGACGAGCAGATAGAGACAGACAGATTAGATGGCATACTAAATTCCGACCTTACGCCTAGCTCTGCCATTGACGATAGATCAGATGGTCAGGTGTGCCAGCTTTTACTGAAAGAAAGTCCTCTTCCACTGTTGTGTCTCCCTAAACCCTAAACCCTAAACCCTAAACCCTAAACCCTAAACCCTAAACCCTAAACCCTAAACCCTGTCGCCATACTGGAAGCTCGCCACCTCGTCTTGGCATCTGAGTTTGGAAGGAACTCGGCCTTCAAAAGGCCCATGCGAAAGTGTGCCTCTTTTTGCATCAAGGAGTGCGGTTTAAGGTTTAGGGTTTGGGGTTTAGGGGTTTGGGGTTTAGGGTTCAGGGTTTAGGGTTTAGGGGTCAGGGGGGGTGTAGGGTTTAGGGTGCATCAAGGACTAGGGGGTTGAATTGTGGCAGTAGAGAGCCGAGAAGCGTAGATTGCAGCGCGGACGATGAAGTTGTCTGTGCAAGTTTTCAATGGTGATGCAAAACGGCTACCAAGTCTTGAAGTATTGATAAGGTGGTCACATCGCCCAGTGGCACCCTTTTCCCTTTTTCGTTCTGGGTTCCCCTATAAAGTGACCACCCCCCCAAAACAGGGTGCCCTCATTATCATATGGTTACTGGGCCACCAAGCAGATGACTTGCTTGTGAAGCACTACACCACATTTTTTTTGTGAGTGTTATTTGGAGGGTCTATATCCCCAAGGGTCCCCCTAATCCTATCCGCTAATTCCTATGTTGACTTGGAGCCGTTTTACTCAGCACCGCGGTCCTGCTAGACACTCGGATGAGGGCGTTCCATGGGTACAATGTGTGCCCATACATTCCAGGATGGGCTACTAGACCCTTTGAGCCTTTAAGAAGGCCGGTTTGGGGTTCAGGGTTCAGGTTTCAGGGTTCAGGGTTTAGGGTTTAGGGTTTAGGGTTTGCTGATTATGGCATGATAAGGCCGAATAGCACATCCTGGCTGCTCGTGAGTCTTTAGCACGCACATCACGGTGCGCGAGCACCAGCAGACCCAGCAGCTGCCTTTTTGAAGATCGTTTCTGGTTTAGGGTTTAGGGTTTAGGGTTAAGGGTTTAGGGTTTAGGGTCTAGGGTTTATATAAACCTCAAGAGGGCATTAAACATGTTGTTTTTATTAAGGTTCTACGGGGAGTACAGGTTTCACCAGCCGGCCAGCTATCATACCAGCTGCCCCGCATCAAGCAAAAGCGCAGACGACACATCACCCGGCGGCAGGACGCGAGCCCAGCAAGTCCCAACATGCAGATGAACCCCTAAGGGTCCATGGTTTAGGGTTTAGGGTTTAGGGTTTAGGGTTTAGGGTTTAGGGTTTAGGGCTACTACTCTAAGGGTCCATGTACCTCATTATTACATACTTAGGCCCCCAGAGTCCCTATATAGGAAGTACTCTAAGGCCCCAGTATTCCCTATTTAGGTACATGGACCCTTCGGGTTAACTGCATCGTGCTCTTAAGGCATTGGGCAGCCGTTTTAAACAGCAGTTTTCGAGCAGAGGATAGGCCACATGGACCCCAAAGTCATGATGAGGAACGCGTCTGCGGACGTTGCTTATACGTAGGAGCAGATGCGGTCTCGCAAGGATCGTAGCAAGCGCTCCAAGTATACAAGTAATACCTACATTGGGGTCTAAAGTCTACAAAGCCACACCTAGTTTGTGGGGCCATAAGGGAGCCTTAGGGATTCAAGGGGCTCTACACCAGTTTAGGGTTTAGGGTTTAGGGTTTTGACTGTGCCATGGACAAAGATGGATTCGAGAAGTTCCTGGACGCCTCCTGGATTGCTTTCCGCAAGCAACTGCTGGAGGCATACCCAGCGGATGCTGTCACGCGGAGTGCGAGGCTAGACAGGCCCTTGGGATGCCTTTCTATATTTTCCCCCTCTTGGGTTTAAAAACCCTAAACCCTAAGATTTTTCAGAGGGTGTTAAGGGCAGTCCTAGGATGGATGTGGAATTCAAGCTTGCCGAGCTGGAGAAACACCTCCAAGAAGCAAGAGGTGGCCGGGGAGAGATGTCCCCAGAGACTTTGCTTCAATTTTGTTCGGGCTTTGAAGCCCTTTAAGCCTCCAAGCTTGTTTTTTTTGGGGCTTCTTTACTGTGTAATATCCATTCTGCCCCCCAAAGAGGCACCCTGAACCCTAAACCCTTAAACCCTAAGGTCGTGAAGCCCTAAACCCTAAAACCTAAACCCTAAACCCTAAACCCTAAACCCTAGACCCTAGACCCTAGACCCTAGACCCTAAACCCTAAACCCTAAACCCTAAACCCTAAACCCTTGCCAAGGTCATTGAAACGAGTCAGGACTCGGCAGCCGGCAGTCGGACCTCGGTTGGTTCGCTCATGGCGCCCGTGGTCGGTGTCGGGTCGACATCGGCGGGGTCGCCGCTGTTTCATGGCTTCCAGAGCTTGGGGTTTAGGGTTTAGGGTTTAGGGTTTAGGGTTTAGGGTTTTAGGGTTTAGGGTTTAGGGTTTAGGGTTAGGGTTTAGGGCACACTCATCTGCAACTCAGACACGGTTACAAGTAGTTCCAGACGCTTTATTGGGCATTTCTCGAAACAACCATCTCCCTTATGCCTCGTTAATATAGGGCTGCATACTTATGAAAGGACCCTCCTTAGAGGTACCGTAAGTATGAGTAACCCCCCCCCCCCCCCCTTCCCCCAACCCCTTTAGTCCCTTGAAAAGCATAACCCTAAACCCTAAACCCTAAACCCTAAACCCTAAACCCTAAACCCTAAACCCTAAACCCTAAACCCTAAACCCTAAACCCTAAACCCTAAACCCTAAACCCTAAGCCGCAAAGGATGACGATTGAGACTGAGCTGCAGTCGCCAAGAACCGACGGATCATCGCCTCCAGAGTGGCTTGCCTTTGAGACAGCCAACATCTTTAGGGTCCCTAGTTTAGGGTTTGGGGTTTAGGGTTTAGGGTTTGGGGTTTAGGGTTTGGGGTTTAGGGTTTCCGAAATCAAGGGGGTACCTTATTGGGGTCCTGACTATGAGAGAATCCCATTATTTGGGGGTTCAAATTTAGGGTCCCTTTTTTACGTAAACTCACAGATAATTGCGAGATTCTCCACATTATGGTCCCCTTTGGGGGGGAGATCCTACTGCCTTGTATAGAAAAAGAAACTAAGTGTATATGTATATGTATACGTATTTGTATATGTGTATGGTACCCAGAAAGGGACCCATAATTCAGACAATCATCCGTATTAATTCATCGCCAGCTGACACAGCTGTCCCGCGCCAAGTCCAGCTACTCCATGCATGACTCTCACGCAGATTCATGCACAGAAGGACAGCGAGCTGTGTGTTGTGTGAATCTACGAGTTCTACCTGCGAGGTACCCTAAACCCTAAATCCTAAACCCTAAGCCCTAAACCCTAAACCCTAAACCCTGCATCCTAAACTCGAAACATCGAGGTCTCCAAAGTTTACGGTGCCCTTTCTCGGCGCGGGGCTCCTGGGGCTCAGTGCCACACGGCCTCACTTTAGGGTTTAGGGTGTAGGGTGCAGGGTGCAGGGTTTAGGGTTTAGGGTGTACAATACCTAGATAGAGTAACCGATGTACCTCTAGAAAGGCGCCTGTTGCCTTTCTTATTCGGTTCCTTTCGCTCTTTGTTAAGGGTGCATAGGTTACTCTTGGGCCTTGGCGGCTTCGGGTACGAGAACTTGTTTCTGAGCAAACCCGTCGGGCTACAATTTGTAAGCAAAAGTTGAAAGGGGAACCTGAGTCGGAGAATGAACACGGTTTAGGGTTTTAGGGTTTAGGATTTAGAGTTTAGGGTTTAGGGTTTAGGGTTTAGGCAATAAGGCCACCCACAAGGTCCAGCGCTTAGCATCGTGACGGACTTGCGTGACAAGAACCCCAGTTATAATTGTTACTTAAGTCCGTTCTCACACTGCAATGAAACAATCCCTTTATGTTCGTAGGGAGAAGAAGGCATCAAGGACTCATGGGCCATGAATGGCTTCGTCTAAATTCTGTGGTGGCCTAGTTGACCCTATGAACGATAAGGAGTACACGATACGGGTCCCCCAAACACAATACCCAAAACCCCAAACCCCAAACCCTCGCCCTCACCCCCCCAACGCCCACGGCCATTCATGCCAGCCCTAAACCCTTAAACCCTAACAGCCCTCATGTCAAGCATGTCAAGGGCAGTCCAGGGCCTGATGGGGCGAGGGGGCTGTGGCGGGGGGGGGGGGACCGCTGTCCCTAAGCGCAGAGTGTCTTGCAGAGGGCTTCATCATAGGGGTTTTGGGGTTTAGGGCTTAGAGTTTAGGGTTTGTAATAGTATTCCCTTTCGGTCCCTTTATAATTATACCCCATATAACCCGTAAACCTTATTCCAATTTTCAGCCCCTATAGTATAAAGCTTGAGATTCAGCAGCCACGACAGACCCCGAAGCCAAAAGTCTTCATGGTTCACAGCGTTCAGGGTTCGGCAGCCAAACGCCCACAAATCTTACATCGAGATTGAAGCAGCCGAAGAAAATATTCTAAACCCTAAACCCTAAACCCTAAACCCTAAACCCTAAACCCTAAACACTGAACCCTCCAAGCCAGAGAAGAGCTGCCTTGAGGATGAGGAGGCCCAAGGCATTCGCCATCGCCTGCGGGTGCGATTGGGAGTCATCTCAGCAAAACAGTCACCTTGCCTGAGAAGTTGAGCCCTGGACCCTCAACCTTTGGGTTTTTAGGGCTTTTTAAAGGTCTAGGGTCCTGGGTTTTTGGCAAGGTCTAGGTTTTAGGGTTTTTTCAGGTTTAGGGCTTAGAAGGTCTATATAAGGTCTATAGAAGGCCCTAAACCCTAAACCCTAAACCCTAAACCCTTTTTCTCGTTTATAAGGTTTATAAGGTTTAGGGTTTAAGGCCTGTGAGGGCTCGGGGCTTCGACTCTTCAGTCGACGGAGGCCTCGCAGCAGCGGACGTCGACAGTGTTCAGCCCCAAGACTAGTTTAGGGTTTAGGTTTAGGGTTTAGGGTTTAGGGTTTAGGGTTTAGGGTTTAGGGTTTAGGGTTTAGGGTTTAGGGTTTAGTGTTTAGGGAAACCTGAACCCTTTTGCTGTTTGTTTGGGGTACCAAGTTTTCACTTGGTCTAATTGGAGCCTTCGAAGCCTGAGCGTCCCCCAAAACACAGACAAAAAACCACGACTAGGGGTCCGCAAGCTACCGAAGAGCATCCCGCAACCAAGCGAGGTCTGCAATTTGGGGTCTAGGGTTCAGGGTTTAGGGGTTTAGGGTTTAGGGGTTTAGGGGTTTAGGGAGACTTAAGTTCTCGCCAGTTGTGTTTCATTTGATGGCCGCAGGGCCATGCCAAAACTACCTGCCCTTTTCTTTGAAGTAGCTAAGAACTGGGTTTTGGAGTACTGTACTTTAATGCTTTTTTTGGTTCTGGGTTCCTATTATAGCTACTTATACCTAAGAAGTATATATTTTTTTTTCCAGGGTCTACTCCAAAACTAGGAGAAGGTGCTTCGGAGAGTCCTTGGGAATGGGGCCCCCCATGTGGGGGAGCCATTTAGGGTTTAGGGTTTAGGGTTTAGGGTTCAGGGTTCAGGGTTTAGGGTTTAGGGTTTAGGGTTTAGGGTTTAGGGTTTAGGGTTTAGGGTTTAGGGTTCCCTGAACTCTAATAGAAGAGAGTTGAGGCTCGTGTCGGGGAAGTCGCTCCACGATTCCATCGTGGCCTTGGGCCTGACACGTTCCTTGATGACCTGCAGTGGTATTTGTTGTTTGGTGTTGCTCTGGTTTTTCTTTGGGGGGGGTTGCTTTTTTGAGGGTTTCTATTATTTAGAGGCATCTGTGTTCCCTTCCTTGAGGTTCATTTTTGTTAAGGGTTTCTGTCCCTTGTAAACCCCAACAGAAGAAGTTCCCTTCTTCCTAGCAGGTTTGTAGGGCTGTATCCCTAAACCCTAAGTCCTAAACCCTAAACCCTAAACCTTATTGCTTGGAACTTGGCGACCTTGGTTTGTTTTCGGGAGTCGAGCCTTCGAGGTCCTGTGTGAGGGGGCCTCAAGCAGCACCACCAAGTCTTCGACATACCTTGGGATGTTCCCCCTCATACCAACAGTCCTGAATGGGGATTATAATAGGGGGGTACTACAATCCCTACTAAGCACTGCTGGTTTATGGGGGAACATCCCAATCTATACCTGTACAGTATTGCATCTAAGGGATAGGATGTAGAAGCAGCTCCAGGGCCCCAAGCATTCCGGGCCTACGTATGTGCTTAAGTTGGGGCTTTACGACAATAGGGGTCCCCTAATAAATAGTAGGAATTCCCTTAGAATAATAAGGACCCCAATAAGGCACCCCTAATTTCGGAAACTTCCCAGACTTAAGTATAAAGGTGGTACAACCTTCGGGGTGCGCGTCCTAACCCCTTGAGCTTCCCTAAACCCTAAGCCCTAAGCCCTAAGCCCTAAACGCTAAATCCCTAAACCCTAAAACCCTAAACCCTAAACCCTAAACCTAAGGCAGCTTTTTTCAGGCTACTCGGTTGAGGAAATGGATGAGCTGGTAAACATGCTCGCCGACTTCATCGGTCTCCACTTTGAACAGGAACGGTTTAGGGTTTAGGGTTTAGGGTTTAGGGTTTAGGGTTTAGGGTTTAGGGTTTAGGGAGAGTAGACCTTCAAAACCGCAAACTCGAAGGGTTGAGGGCTTTGGGGTTTATCTAGGGTTTACCTAGAGCAACTTCCTGCCTTAAAGAAGGGGAATTATACTCGAAATGAAGGTGTGTATATATGTATATATACACACATATACATATACATATATATGTATGGGTATATATATATATATATTTTTAACGTATATGTATACATATATATATATATATAATGTGTCTTTCTTGAGTGTAGGGTGTTGCGAAAGGCTTGGTCCTAGGTCCTAAGAAAGATGCTTCGAACCATGCGGTAGCTCAGACGAATCTACACCGAACTCACAGAAGACTGACATGGGGGGTGTCCGAAAATGGCGGTACCCGTTTTGGGGGTTCCTATAATAAGGAGTATGCTAATCCGAGCTCCTGTTTAATTGGGGGGTGCCCCCCCCCCCCCCCCTCCCCCCCCCCCGGCCACAATAAGGAATGCAGGGTTCCGCAAAAGTTGGACCATGGCCCTGTATTAATTCTCTATTAAAACAATATGACAGATTTTTGAACGCCCCCCCAAAAGTTCCTTTAAATGCGGGGGGGGGGGGGGGGGTATCCCCATACGAAATCCACCGTAATGGAAAGTAGTCTTCCGGCGGGGCTTCCGGCCGAAAAAAATTTCTTTAAATGTGGGTGGTTTGATTAAACAGGTGCTCGATTATTTGGGGTATACAATGGGTTACCCCTATTTTTGGAAACCCTGACATAGCAAATCCAGCCAGAAGACCTGAACAGAGAAATAAATCTCAACTTTTTTCCAAGTGCTACTTGAAGGACATGCCCTCTACGCGTCTCATCTCTGCGGGTGACTAAACAAGGCTAAGCAGCACCCTCTTGAAATCAAATCCATACCTTACTCTTCAGCCAACAGTTTTAGGGTTTAGGGTTTAGGTTTATGTGGACTATTTATCATTTGGCTCATGCATTTCGAAGTTATCGACCTGGCGCAAACTAAATGCGAGATTCCCGCTGCGAGCCGACAATCAATCTTCAACATCGAAAAAACCAGCCCGAAGATCTACTGTTTTAGGTTCGTTAAGTAAGCAAGCACAGTCTACGACAGCCAAGTTCGCCAAACTTCAGTACAGTTCTCTTGGAGCCGCTACGTTGCAACAGCAGCACGTCACATTGCAGATTCGCTTGCTGTGGGTTGGCCTTTGCCCGTGCGGGTTGCCAAAGCTCTAATCTAACCCCCCCCCCCCCCCCACACAATCCTTGTGGAGGACCCCAATGCTCTGCGCAACAGCAGGCGAAATTCAAGGACTCCCCGTGGAGGACCCCAATGCTCTGCGCAACAGCAGGCGAAATTCAAGGACTCCCCGCCCTACACCCTAAAGCCCCTAAGAACCTTAAACCCTAAGCGAACCTTAAACCCTAAGCCTGAATCTAAGGTTGGAGCCATGGGAGCTTAGTATGCTCCCTTACCCTTGTTGAGAGGGATTTAAAATTGGATCCGAAGTATGGGCCCTTATCAGGCACCGTATAAATAAGGGTTATATAACAGGGGACCCCAATTGAGGGCCTTTTTTAGAGCCTCGGGAATCATGTGGGTATTCGGGGCCATGGTAAACCCCAAGCCCTCCTAGACAGGCCTTGGTCGTGTTCGGGTTCAGGGTTTTGGGTTCAGGAGACCCCGAAGAAGCCCACTTAATTCGGGGGCCGGCAAACCCTTAACAATCTACAGTGGACCCCCAAGACTCTAAGCTCTAAGCCCGTAGGGTTTTAGGGCGTAGGACTTCGGGGTTAGGCCCTATACACCACATGTGCGTAAAGGTCCTTGAGAAGGGATAGCAGGTTGTTATTCTGTGGAACAGGTATGTTGGTCAACTATTATCTGCATATGTGATGATATACGTATCTGTACCTCCAGAAGTAGGGAAGGCCAAAGCATGTTTGCTCACCAGGAGGAGTTGCTTTGTTTGACCTCCAGAAGATCTCAGGAACTGCAAGGGCGATTCCTTTCTTGACTCCCTACCTAGAGGGTCCATTCTTGGAGCACGACAAGGTATCAAACAAAAAACCATACTCCATTGTGCTTTGGGTCCCTAACCCTAAACCCTAAACCCTAAACCCCATACCCTAAACCCTAAACCCCAAACCCCAAACCCTGAACCCTAAACCCGAATTCCATGAAATGGAACTACGCAGATAACCGGAGGACAGCCGCCACGTCGCTCTTCTCCTTGCAGCAGGAGTCCTTGGTAGTCCAGTGGTACCCTTTACCCTTTCTTTTTTTAACCCTAACCCTAAACCCTAAACCCTAAACCCTAAGCCCCTTATTGTAATATGGATACTGAGCTACCAAGAGTCGCTGTTGAGGTTTTGGGCTGCTGTGGTCTCCCTCCGAAAGCACCCTTGGGATGTTTGTTTTTGAGTGTTTTCTAACCCTAAACCCTGAACCCTGAACCCTGAACCCCTGTACCATGCACCATGCACCCTGAACCCTGAACCCTGATCCCCAAGCCCTAAACCCTTAACTCGGAGGATTTTCTTCCAAGGGTCTTATTGGCACCAAAAGCCAAGAGCAGCCACTTCCAAAAACGCAAAAAAAAAACTCTGAAACAAATTAGCGCGGAAGCCCTAAAAACTAAACCCGAAGCCCTAAGCCCTAAACCCTAAACCCTGTCAAACCCGAACCCACCACTCGTCTCGGATTCGGTGCTGATGAGACTCTGGGGCGTCTTTCCTAAACCCCAAGCCCGCCCTGAAAACCCTGGGCCAGGACTTGCAGAAGTTTGGTGATCCGGCCGCTTGGCTTCACTGCACATGGCAGGCGTCCCCTATGGCATTGAGGGTTTAGGGTTTGGGGTGCTGTGGCTGGCCCGTGCTGGGGTTCTTGTTGCCACTTTAACTTAACAGGCTTACAGAAGGGGTTCAGGGTTTGGGTTTAGGGTTTGGGGTTTGGGTTTGAGGGTTTAGGGTTTAGGGTTTAGTGCTAGAAACACATGACAGCATGACTCTCTTGACTTATGTCAAGTTCCTTGACAAGAACCCAGCAGCCCCTACCCCACGTTTCAAATAAGGTCAAAGCCTCGAGGCCCAATCCCCTCCTCCTAAGATAAGACCCTCCATCTTATTGCTTTCGCAAGAACCCTAAACCCTAAACCCTAAACCCTAAACCACAAACCCCGAACCCTAAACCCTAAACCTTAAAGGGGGGGGGGGTGTCCGAAATAGCTGAACATTTTTGGGGAGGTTCCTGTGACGAGGACTGCAAGGACTGTGGTATCTTGTGGGTGTACTTTGGGGTCCCCCCTTGGGAAATACCCTAATCCCTAAACCCTAAACCCTAAACCCTAAACCCTAAACCCTAAACCCTAAACCCTAAACCCTAAACCCTTGATTTTCGCCCCACCCCCCCCCCCCCCTTTTTGGGTTTAGGGTTGCATGTGGGGGCCCTTGAGGTGCGCGAAGTGGGGCAAGTAGGGTGGGGCAAGGGGGGTGGGGGGTAACAAGTGCCCTAAACCCTAAACCCTAAACCCTAAACCCTAAACCCTAAACCCTAAACCCTAAACCCTAAACCCTAAACCCTAAACCCTATTGCCAAGATCTGGGAGTGGCCTCCCATCCGCGAGAGCGCGATGCACATGCACCGGAGTGCCTCCATGCCCCTCGGGTCAGTTCATGTTAGGGTTTAGGGTTTAGGGTTTAGGGTTTAGGGTTTAATTAGGGTTTAGGGTTTAGGGTTTAGGGTTTATGGTTTAGGGTTTAGGGTTTAGGGTGGCAGGTTTCTCTGGGTACCCTTTCATTCCTGGGACACTCTGAGGTCTAGGGTCTCAGACGGTCAGACGATCTTACATGCACTAGGGTTGCGAGCTCCTGGCTTGCAGGGCATCTGGGTGGCATCTGGGCTACCTATACACCGTAAGCAATAGAGTAGCCTATACGGTGCTTGCCACATATTTTTTTCCTGGGTGGGGGGGGGGGGGGGGGGGTAGTTACTTGAAAATATGTTCTTTGGTATACTGGTAGTACTGCCCGGGGATTCCAACTTTGAGAAAAAGCCCTATGTAACGATCTGTACCTTTTATGAATGGATATCCTTGCCATGTTTCGGGGCTTTGGGGTTCATCTCCCCTTTGCTTAAGGGTACCGAGGCTATTTATTCTAGGTAGTCCCCCCAACGCAGCATGCCCAAGGCAGATCTTCGTTGACCGCACTGCTCACAGCTCCATGAATGTCGTCCCAGCACAGGCAGCGCTTTCCTGTCAACTTGAGACACAGGTTGGGATGTTCCCCCTGAAACTAACAGTCCTTTAACAGGGACTATAACAGGGGGTACTAGAATCGCTATTCAATTAAGGATTGTTAGTATAAGGGGGAACATCCCAAGGCACTCAAGCTTGGAGTCCGGTTGCAGCCCGGGCCTTGCAACTACTCTTCGGGACTCAGGGTTTAGGGTTTTGGGGTTTAGGGTTTCGGGTTCAGGGTTTAGGGTTTAGGGTTTAGGGATACTACACCCACCCGCCATAAGCCAGAGGCGCTGATGGAGCTCTTCTTTGCGCAGGACCGCGTCGCTTTCGCGCTTTCGGCCTCTCCTGATTTTACTGACAGTGCTGGCATCTTCTCTGCGGCATCCTGTGCACATCAACAGGGAAGCCAAGATGAACCCCTAAACCCTAAACCCTAAACCCTGAACCTCTTCATACCCCTTACCCTGTCAACCTCCCATTGCTGGTTCCAGATTGTTCAGGAGTGGGACCTGCACAAGCGAATTTTTGGTGCCGGCCGCCTACTCAAGCAGTTCAAGGTGGGGGTTGGGGGGGGGGGTGTCTCCTGACCCATGCTTCGATTGGCGATGTGTGTGTGTGTGCCTGCCTTTTCAAAAACACATCCAGGAAAGGCGCCCTGCAGCGATAAGCCCTGGCAGGTTGCAGGAAGAACGTCCCTACGCCCTAAACCCTACACCCTACACCCCACCGGAAGATCTCCAGGCCTTGGGATGTCTTACTATACCCGAATCTCTGGTGCTCTTGGTAGAAAAACTCGTGCCCTCGTGCCCTTTTGTTGGTTCTAGATTCCCTCAGTACAAGCAACCAACACCAAAAAGGAGACCCTCATACTATGGCTGCTGGGCTGCCAAGTGCTTTTGTGCTGTACGAATGAGGCCATGAAGGAGATTTTGCTTGCTGGTGACACGAATCGCCTCTCGGCCGGCAAGGGATAAGCCTAACACATCTTTCAGGCCAAGTCTAGCAGCATGATGAAGTCCACAAATTCAGCCCTTCAGAGGATCAGTGCAAGTGCAGGGGATAGCGAGTGAGTGAGTGTGTCGGTAGCGGTGTGTTGCCAGAGTCCACGAATGTCAGGTGTGTGCGTGTCGGCGCAGCTGCATGTGTGCGTTCCTCTCCGCCTGTCTGTTTGTCAGGTTGTTTTTTTTTTGGGGGGGGGAGATGTCTGCATGTCTTCGTTCCTTTTTGGCCCTGCACACTTGTATTTGTGCATCTGCGCTGAGAGCCCAACGCGGAGCGGACGTCATTGACGTCATCTTCCTGTCAGTTCACGTAGGCCCCCGGAAACCCTAAACCCTAATCCCTAAACCCTAAACCCTAAACCCTAAACCACACACACCAACACCGATGCGTGCTGAGGGTTGGTGGCTGAGCTGACATTCGTCAGAATCAACGACCTCGCAGCTCCACCCGAGCCTATCCACCCACTGATCTACATTGAGCGACTCGGGCCGTAATCTTACCCATAACGTAAACCCTAAACCCTAAACCCTGAACCCTAACCCTAAACCCCATCCGAATCACTGATCCATGCAAGCCCATGGACTGAAACTCGAAAGGCTGAAGCACCAACAGCCCAAAGCACGTGTGTCGAAAGTCTTGGAGATGTTCGCCACATATCCCCCCCCCCTCCTAAACCCGCAACCCCTCAACCCTAAACCCGAACGGCCCAGGCCCCTGGTCGCCCTTCTGATCGTCTGCAATGGGATCATGAGCCACGTCGCAAGACATCCCCTTCTGGCCGACAGTTCTTAGTCTCTTCCTGGCGGTTGTGCTGAAGTATGTTGGGCTTAGGGTTTAGGGTCTTGTGGTTTAGGGTTTATAGGGCCCTTTGGGAGGCTCTTCCTAAACCTACAACCTAAACCCCAAACCTGTTTTATCCTTAAGCCTACGTTTTTCTGGGCTTGCCGAGTCTGCCGTTGCTGACTCGAACTTCTAAGGATTGGCTTCCAGACTCATCCAGACCATCAGGATTGGATATATTGGACACACGTGGAGATCGGGTCTTTTGACTGTTCAGCAGTAGATGCGGTTTCCGAAATTAGGGGTCCCAATCTTCGGAAACCCCCCATATGTGTTACTTTTTGCTTAGGCTTCTGGGTTCCTACTGGCTAGAATAATAAGACATATAGCTTTTTTTCCCAGCGGTTTCTGAATGACTTGCTCAGGTTTCTGAGTGTGCTCATTTTAGAGATCGCTTTGCGAATCCACCTTCTTGGCTGTCGGAAATTCTGGTGCGGCCCAGACTGGCTTTGGAACTACTTCGATATCGTCCTGGCAATGACTGGGCTTGTTGATATCACAGTACAGCTTGTCAACGACCAGAAGACCGACATATTTGGCACTTCCCTGCTGAGATTCTGTCGCCTGATCCGACTGGTGCGCATTGTGAAGGCAGGAATGATTCCTTTGGTGAAGACACGTGAAGACAGTAATATAGGGGTCGGAATGGCGACTAATCGGTTTCCCTTATGGTCCCTTTTGTAATTCCGAATTCCACGATAACAACCCCCAAAACCCTATTCTAATTATTAAAGCCCCTACATTAGCTGGCTTGTTGCGAGCAGCTAGCAGCTAGCAGCCTTTCGGGTTTGCACCTTCTTCGCCGAGATTCGCCGAGATGAGAGGTCATGCTATGTACTAGGTAGGCTGCTGGTCACATTTCCTCATCGGGCTTAGATACATTAAGAGGGTATTCAGATATGTTGCCTGGGGGCCGCCTAGTAAGCGAAAGTCCTGGGCTCTCATCCGGTGGGGTGAATGCCGGGGCGACTCTGACTGGCTGGTTCTTAGTAGGGAATGAGGGAATGAGGTACCCTACATGATCCCTTAAAGAGTATATACATGGCCCTCATTCCCTCATTCCCTACTAAGAACGAGCCAGTCTGACAGGTCTTCCGCCTGAAGTTCATGCGAGACCTGCGTCTCATGGTCAAAGGCCTTGTTGCAGGCGCTTGGTCGCTTGAAAGCTATGACTTGGTCGCTTCCCCACGTTTGGGGGTAGTACGGCTTAGAATTCGGGTACCCAGAATTTGGATATTACCTTTACCATGGGTTCCTTCAGCTTCGCAATGGGCTAAGCAGGTTTCAACTAGCGTGGCAAACTGAGGGGCATTACACCATAGAGTGTCGGCTGCGGACAGAACCCTAAACCCTAAACCCTAAACCCCCCCAGACCAGGTTCCTTGGAAGGAGTGTCTCTCTTCATCCTGGCAAGCAGAGAGAAGCCAATAAGCTTGCATGGGTTACTCCTCGGGTTCCTTCTAGCCCTAAACCCTAAACGCCAAATGCGAAACCCTAAACTCTAAACCCTAAACCCTAAACTCTAAACCCTAAACCCTAAACCCTAAACCCTAACTCTATCATAGAACCTAAAGCATGAGAAGCCGCTAGGCGTGCGAACGCTAACGCTGGCCTTCACGCTGCTCTTCTCCGTCCTTTACGCACCCCTGTCGGACATCAGAGCAAAAAAACTGACAATCGTTAAAATACCGTTAGGGTTTAGGGTTAGTGTTTAGGGTTTAAGAATTTGCCTTTAGGCATTTCCAAGGGACCCTTTTGTAGCTCAAAGTACTGTAATCCTTATCGTACGAGTGCCCACACAAAGGGACCATCCTTCTTACACGAATCCCCAACAAAGGTACCCCTCTTTCCGGAACCCCCCCCCCTCCCCCCGCACCATTTCTGCACCATGTCTAGTCTTCTAGCATGCGGGGCCAATTATAACTGTACTCATAACCCAATTATATCCCTGTATTAGGCCACTTCAAGGGACTTGCAAGTGGGCTATTCTACGCTTCTCATTGGCTTATAAGTACCCTGAACCTATCCAAGTATCCAAGCTGATCCGCAGCTGGTCGCGAGCGGCTCAGGTCATTGGTGGCTTTGCGACGATGGCAATCGGAAGCGATCCGAGAACCGAGGTTCCATTTTTTGGGCTGGAAAACGTTGCATCAACCATTACTCTAAGGCCTATAGGGCTCCCAGTATACAAACAGTACCTACATTGGGGTCTCAAGCCTATAAAACCCTAAATAAACCCGAACCCCTAAAAATCTATAAATAACATCTACTTTGGGTTTAGGGCTCAAGCCTATACAACCCTAAATAAACCCTAAACCCTAAAAGTCTATAAAAAACACCTACTTTGGGCACTTTGGAGCCTTGGGGTTCTGACCTGGAAGAGAGAACAGCTTCTCATGGCTTGGCACGTCAGACTCATGGTGTCCGGCTTTTTGACTTTCCCTAGCAGTGCCCGACAGGTCCGCTCCCGAATTCCTGATGCTGCCGCTGTTCAACTCCCTCAAACCCTAAACCCTACCTACTTGAACCCTATAGACCCTAAACCCTAAACAAAATGTAGTCCACCCCTCCTCCCAGCATCAGGCGGAGGGCCTCTTGAAGTATTTCGACAGCCTTCCTCAATGCAGCGTGGAGTTGTTTTATGACTCCAGATTGAGGGTTTGGGGGTTTGGGAGGTTAGGGTTTAGGGTTCAGGGTTTAGGGCTTAGGGTTTAGGATTTAGGGCTTAGGGTTTAGGGTTCAGGGGTTTGGGTTTAGGGTTGGGGGGGTGTCGGGATGGCTTTTATTGCCGCGGCAACTGCACAGCCATGCCAATCCCCGGCAAGGCATGTTCACCGCCTTCCGGCACCTTGTCTGTACTTGGATTCCATGACCTGTAAGGGTTTAGGGCTTAGGGCTTAGGGTTTCGGGTTGCGTTCATGTGGGGGTTTCCGAAACAGCGGGTACCCTCTTTGGGGGGGTCCCTTTAAGGGGATTCTATTTTATTTATGGTATAAAAGGGGTACCCCTATGTTGGGAAATGCCCTGGTCTTAAGTCGGTTTTGTAACCCTAACGGTCCATGTACCTTATTATTATATACTTGGGCCCCCAAGTCCCTATATAGTAAGTACTCTTTGTGGGTACAGCTGGTTCACATGGTGACTTACATCCCGACAGTTGTGTCATTCTTCAGCTTAGGGTTTAGGGTTTAGGGTTCAGGGTTCAGGGTTCAGGGTTTAGGGTTTAGGGTTTAGGGTTTAGGGTTTAGGGTTTAGGGTTTAGGGTTTAGGGTTTAGGGTTTAGGGTAGCCACCCTCTGCACCAGAGGTGCTACACGGGTGATTGCGTGAACGACGAAGGCAAGCCCTTGACGCACGAGCTGGCCAGGTCCTTTGGCTGCAGAGCACAGGAGTCAGAAGTTTCCGCAGGAACAAGGCGATACTAAACTAAGATGTGCAGCAGGAACAAGGTGACAGTAAACACAGTAAACCAAGATGTTCATTCCTGTGCTATGGGGGAGTATAGAGCAGCGAAGCAAGGCCAAATCCCAGAGTCGATTTCTCACAGCCCGTTGTCTTACGGACTCTCTTTATGACAGCCCAAGCTTGAGACTGAAGATTCTCGAATCAACGATGGGTCGTTTCATGATGGCTTTTTCAGGGCCGTCGGTTTGGTCCGTCGACACCTCAGGCTCTTTGGCTATCCCTTCATTATGGCATACGTGATCAGCTATATGCTCGTAGCCATGGGCATCTTCAACGTCATTTTGGCTGTCTACGTGCCCTGGCCAATGCTCACCCAGACGAGGGTCCCTTTTCTGGTTGCGGGTGTGGCGGTTCTTTTTACAACCCTAAGCCTGAATGTCCAATACAGAGCTACCTACAATGCGAGTGGACCCCTACACTCCGAAAGCCCTAAGTTAGGAACCCCTAAACCCTTCTAAACCCCAAAGCAACCCTACGTAAGCACTTATATAGGGCCCCCCTGCCCTCCCCCCCCCCCCCCCCCCCCTGTTCTTGGCCCAGCTGCTTGAAGACCGCATGCTTTCAAATGGGCGAGTCTTTAGGGTTTGGGCTGTTTAGGGTTTAGGGTTTAGTAAGTTTAGGGATTTAGAGGTTTGCGTCGTATGATTGTAGGCTTCATCTTCCCCTTCACCCCGCAGCAACAAGACCCCATCGTGCGGTCAAGACAACTACATACGTCTGAAGATCGCTTGAAAAGCCATGTGAAGAAAGTATGTCCCACACCCAGAAGCCCGAAGCCCAAGTTAGGTCGGCTCCCCTGCAAGTATTGTTGTTGCTTGTGTTTTTTTGTTCGTTTTCGGGGGGGGGGGGGGGGGGGGGGGGGGGGGGGAAAAGCGGGTGCCACTGGACAACAACTAGTACAACGCAGGTCCCGCTTTTCATTGAAACTCTAACAAAGCCTAGGACCCGGAGTCCCGGAGTAGGCCCTTATTCCCTTGCTTTACTCTTATACGCCCCTTTAAACCACAAAGGGCGCCCTTGTTATTCCAAGGTTACTCTTGGGTCTAGAAGCCCCACCGGGAGTAGTCTACATGCCCTTACTAACAGGGAATTCGGGTTTATAGGGTTTAGCTTGAGATGTTCCCCCTTATAGTAACAGTCCTCAAGAGGAATTATAGGACCCCCTAGTATAATCCCTATGAAGGACTGTTCGTATGAACATCCCAAGGTTTAGCGTCTATACGGTTTAAGGTTTCGAGTATAGCTTAATGTACACCTATAGGGATTATGGGACCCCCTAGCATGTTCCGCATTAATGTTAGGAAAAACTAAATATGTACACCTAGCAACAAGGTCCAGGTCGATGTCCCCCCCCTTTTTGCAGGGTTAGTAAAGGTCATTCTGGGGCAACTCGCAGGGGCCGCTAAACCCTAAACCCCAAACCCTAAACCCCCTAAACCCCCTAAACCCCTAGACCCCCTAAACCCCCCATAAACCCCCCTAAACCCCCCTAAACCCCCCTAAACCCCCCTAAACCCCCCTAAACCCCCCTAAACCCCCTAAACCCCAAAGCGTAAAGGCGTAAAGGCGTAAACGGCCCCAAGGTCGACATCACCATGAAGGCGGCGAAAGAGAATGAGGCCGTCACTGCCGAGCAATATGCACCTGGGACGCCCTGAACCCTAAACCCCTCGATCCTATAGCCTAGCCCTAAACCCTAAACCCGAAACCCTAAACCCTAAACCCTAAACCCTAAACCCTAAACCCTAAACCCTAAACCCTAAACCCTAAACCCTACTCAGCTTAATCGTTGAACTTTGCAGTCCACTTGGTTCTTGTGTTTCTTCCAATTTTTATGTTGTAAGGATGCCAAGCTGAAAGTTGTTATGGCAACCTTTGACAGCCGCAGCCCTGAAACTCTACACCCTTCAGATCCTATGCTGTCAATGTGTCAGGAAACCTAAACCCTGTAAGCACGGCAGAGAAGCCCTCTCTAAGCCCCGAGAATCCTCCGGGGGGAGGGGGAACATTATTGGGGGCGAGGGGGGGGGGGGGGGGGGGGGCGTGGTGGGTAGCACTCGGGAACCCGGGAATATGTTTGTGCACATATGTACATAAACAAAAAAAAAACTAAATAAAAAAAAATAATAAATAAATAAATATAAATATATATATATATATATATATATACATGTTATATATGTATATATGCACATATGTATACGTTTGTTTTGGTTGCAAGGGCATTTATACATTCGTACAGCTTCTATCCAAACCCCTCTGAATCGCCACGAAGCAACGAAGCAAGCGCTTAAGGCACGGGAGTCCATCCGCGTGGCGCGGACGACGCGCGAGCTCCTCAAGCGCTTTGCGGCGGCCTACCGGCTCTTCCACGACTTGGAGGCCGGGGGGGAGGGTTTTGGGGTTCTTAGGGTTCTTCGGGTTCATAGGATTCTTAGGAATCTTAGGAATCTTAGGGTTCTTAGGGTTCTTAGGGTTCTTAGGGTTCTTAGGGTTCTTAGGGTTCAGGGTTTAGGGTTCCTAGACTTTGGTAGCCCGTTTGGGACACTGTGGTTACTGGGCAAATCAGGCCAGTGAGGGCCTAGACATCCATGTCAATGTAGGGTTCATGTAGAGTTGAGTGTTGAGGGCTTCAGGGTTTACTGCATGCATTTTGCATGTTCCCGGCTGGTTTAGGGCATTGAGGGGCACATAGCGTTCGCCGAGAGTCATGTATATCCACTTGCACGAGGAAGTATGCCAAGAGCTAGGGCACATATGCCTGTTTGAAGAGTTCACAGGTTTCCCTGAACCCAAAACCCGAAACCCTGAACCCTAAACCCTAAACCCTAAACCTATCTCCCTTCGTTCAAGCTAACGCATGTCAGAGAGGACGACCACACGGAAGTTTCTCATCTGGAGATCAGCCCTGGCAAGACGGTCTTCACAGACGAGGAAAGCCTGGCTGGTTCGTAGTAGGGAATCAGGGAAAGAGGTACCCTACATACTCCTCTAAGAAAGGGTATACACAGGGGCCCTAAAGGTATGTATGGGGCCCTAATTCCCCCGTTCTCTACTAGGAGCCAGGGGAAGAAAGCCTTGGTTGCCCAGTGGAGCACTTTTGCCCCCCCCGTTAGGGTTTAGGGTTTAGGGTTTAGGGTTTAGGGTTTAGGGTTTAGGGTTTAGGGTTTAGGGTTTAGGGTTTAGGGTTTAGGGTTCCCTTATACCGTTCTCAAGCCCCCCAAAAAGGGTACCCTCATTATCATATGGTTGCTACTTTGCCAGGCCCAAACTTGACAGTGTTTACAGGGCCTAGGGCTTTAGGAACCTGAGGCCCTGAACCCTACAAACCCCCAAGCCCTAAACCCTAAACCCTAAACCCTAAACCCTAAACCCTAAACCCTAAACCCTAAACCCTAAACCCTAAACCCTGACGAGAGGATGTGCATGAGGGGATCGCGATCACGAAAGATCTGTTCCTCCTCGTGATCCAAGACCGTGGAGTGCAGGAAGCCAAGCCCTCATGGTTGAGAGTTGATCGCCCTAAACCCTAGCCCTAAACCCTAAACCCTAAACCCCAAACCCTAAACCCTAAACCCTAAATCTTTTCCTACAGCTCTAGACTTGAAATCCTAAGCCCCACGAACCGATGACACATATGAGTTGCCTATGAAGCTGCTAAGCCCAAAGTAAGCCCGCAGGGGCCTTGATCCCAGAAAGAGTAGCTCAACCCCTTGCAATCTGACCTTAAATAACCTACCTTATAGGCTCTAATCATCCCTAGATAGCCTTAATTCCGGGGGGAACCTGCAATAGAGGGGGTAGTAGGGGAACCCAAGGGCTGAGGAATTGATGGATGAGCTGGACCTTCCCCCTTAATTAGGCTTAATTATCCCTAAACAGCCTTAATTATGAGGGGAACCTAGGGAAGGTAGTATAGAGGGGGAACCCCCAAACCCTAAACCCTAAACCCTAGACCCTAGACCCTAGACCCTAAACCCTCAACCCTAAACCCTAAACCCTAAACCCTAAACCCTAAACCGCATAGTAGGGGAACCCATGAGCTGAGGAGTTGATGGATGAGCTGGATCTCCCCCCGGATCGCGCGAACCTCTTTGAGATCATCGACGCGGACGGCAGCGGAACTCTTCGGATCTCCGAGCTGGTGCAGGGCCTTCTAAAGATTCTTGGTGGCCCAGGGGGTTTAGGGTTTAGGGTTTCGGGTTTAGGGTTTAGGGTTTAGGGTGCAGGGTGGCAGTGGTACCCTTCACCTGTTTTTTGGGGTTTCGGGTTCCCTTATAAAGTAACCAACCCAACAAAGGGTGCCCTTATTCTAATAGGGTTACCTTGGTGGTGCTCTACTGTAACTTTAGATGTTTAGCCTTTTTGGGTTTATTCGGCTTCTTAATCAGGCAGCTAGAAGTTTGATTTTTTTCCTACCCTCCTAAGTGCAGCCAAGGATTCGCGGGGAGATTAGCAAGAGCGACGCCATTGCCGGCTTGCTGGCGACCAAAGCTGTGTACGCCATGCTGGAGGAGATCCGGGAAGAGACCACGAAGAGCCTGGACGACTTGAAGGACCTCACTGTTCGGAGTCTAGGCAGGCCCTTGGGACATTTTGATATTTTCCCTTACTTGGGTGAATATCCCTAAACCCTAAACCCTAAACCTTAAACCTAAACCCTAAACCCTAAACCCTAAGAGGGTTTTAGGGGCCATCCTAGGAGTGTGAGCGTCCTTTGCACGGCGGTGCCCCGGCCCTCCAGCGTCATGGTCTCTGCTGCATCTCCAAGCTGCGAGCTGGGCCCGGCGCCTGGGCCACTATGGGAGTACTGTTTTACATTTTTACATGTCCTTAAAACGCAAGAAGGAATAGAAATTCACAAGTTTAATCCTATCCCAACCATGAAACCAGGCGCCGGACATCGACACGGAGCCTGGCTGGCAGCACGATTCTGCAAAGCCCGACCTGCTCCTCTCGAAGGATCCGGCACAGGGGGAGAAGCTCGATGTCGAGCTACGCTCCTGCTGCTTTGTCATAGTTGGGGGCAGCGTTTTTTGCAGTCTTTAAGGGTACTTCAATGCAATAAGGAATAAAACTGTCCTAGTGGGGGTAACATTTTACATGCTTTAAGGGTACCTCAACACAATAAGGAATGACATTGTCATGGTGGGGTAACACTTTACATTCTTTTTGAGGGTACTTAAACACAATAAGGAATAAGACTCTAATCCTATCCCAACCATGAACGAGGCTGAGCCGGGGAGTTGAGGCGGCACTCGTATCTCGAATTCTTTTCTTCGAGTTCTTTTCACGGGAGGCGGCCTGGAATGGCAAGAAGCCATCCTTGCCCACCCTCCCCACACCCGAGACTTGGCCTGCGCCTCCTTAGGGTTTAGGGTTTAGGGTTTAGGGTTTAGGGGTTTAGAGTTTAGGGTTTAGGGTTTAGGGTTTAGGGTTTAGGGCCAAGGTCCGCTTAAAGCCCCATCATGCACCGATATGTATATACATGCAGGCATGCATGCAGACATGCATACATGGTCACGTGCCTGTCTCTCGATCACTAGCACTATCTCTTTCTTATCTTTCGCAATATGGTTTGTTTCGTGTTTGGGTCCTGAGACTTGCAAGGGATGCTTTGCGGTTCTAGGGCTTTCGTGCTATGTCAGGGTACTTTGCTGTGCGTTTTCGGGTATTCCAGGGCCTTTTTGGGGCTCTAAAAGTTTTAGGGTTTTAGGGAGTTCCTGTCTGAGGACTCCATGACTTCGTGGAAGGAGTCTTCATTTGGCTGTGCGGCATTTAGGGTTTAGGAGGGTTGAGGGTTTAGGGTTGAGGGTTGAGGGGTTTCGAGACCCTGGACTAGCAAGAGCAGCCAGAATCCCTGACAACATTCGTGCCTGCGTGACTAGGGGATCTGCTCATTTCCTGCAGTGCTACATTTTTTGGGTGTTGACATTGCGTTCGAGCATGCCGCAGTAAGTTTATGTTGCCGTGCTCACTGCTTCCGCAGGGAGCACTCCGGCACAGCCCTCTAGGGTTTAGGGTTTAGGGGTTTAGGGTGAGGACCTACACCACCAAGATGCCACGGCCATCAATGGCAGGATAAGGCCAACATATGGGTCCTACCCAGAGACTCCAAAACCCCTTAATTAAGGAATATTAGGGTTCCCATTATAATTTAAGGTATATTCCTTAGTTAAGGGGTTTTGGAGTCTCTGGGTAAAGAGTTGAACGAGTTGTTTCACACCGCCTTAGAAGCCAAAGGCTTGCGGTCTGCCGGCCATTCATCCATTCATCAACCGCGAGATGCCTAGAAACTCGTACTACTATTTGCTTAAGAACTCCACATGAAACATAAGCTATTCTTCCTTATTAGGGTCATTTAGGGTTTTTTTTTTTGGGGGGGGGTCCTTCAGCAAATAGTAGGGTAACTTCAGAGTTATCCGCTGCTTACGGCTTATAGGGTCCACGGTTGACAAATGCCAAAGTCTGCCGATTTCCCCAGGAGCACATCCGACCCGGTCTGATGTGCCTTAGGGTTTCTGGCAGAGGAAGCGCTCTTGCGCGTGACGACGGAAAACCGGTCAAGCCTCCTGCCATGTCGGGCCCAAAGCTAAGTAGGTTGTGCCCACCTTGGATGCTCCCCCTTATACGAACAGTCCTTAATCGGGATGAGAATAGGGGGTGATACTAGGCTCCCTAGTAAGGACAGCTAGTATAAGGGGGAACATCCATACCCTAAACCCTAAACCCTAAGCCCTAAGCCCTAAGCCCTAAGCCCTAAGCCCTAAGCCCTAAGCCCTAAGCCCTAAGCCCTAAGCCCTAAGCCCCAAACCCTAACCCTAAGAGGTCATTGGGGTTGTAAAAACAACCCTAAACCCTAAACCCGAAATCCTAAACCGCCCTTCACCCCATGGAAGTTTTGCTTGGCTCTGGGCTTGGTGGGGCTTTGGGTTCTTGGGCTGACAGCAAGCGCTTTCAAAAGCCAACCCGGTGTAGGGTGAAGGGTTTAGGGTTTAGGGCTTAGGGCTTAGGGCTTATAGGTTTAGGGTTTAGGGTTTAGGGCTAGGGTTTAGGGTTTAGGGTTTAATTAGGGTTTCGGGTTTAGGGTTCGCCTCTCTCCATCTTTGATCTCCTACATCGAATGGATGACCTCTGGAGACCTGCGGGGATGCAGCTAAGGTTTGGCAGTACGTCATGGAGAGCCTCCCGGCCCGGAGATTTCCCAGAGACTCCAAAACCCCTTAATTAAGGAATATACCTTAAATTATAATAGGAACCCTAATATGGTTTAAGGTATATTCCTTAATTAAGGGGTTTTGGAGTCTCTGGGTTAGTCTTTTGGGTTTAGGCTGTAGGCTTTGGGGTTTAAGGCTGTAGGGTTTGGGGTTTGGGGTTTAAGAGCCCTATATACCCTAAAACCTTAATCAAGGCCCCAAAACCCACGCAAAACGCTGGGCAACAGTGCCCTCCTCTAAGCCCCCCAGAATAGTCAACAGGGATCTCAGAATTGCTATAGAACCCTAAACCCCTACAAGATATTTCTAAGCCGGGGTGGTTTGGAATGAACTGTAGAGTTCTACGGGTCCTCCTCCATAGAAATTTGATTTTCGTAGGCCCCCTTCCCCGCCCTCCTCTCTAGCAACCAGGTCCCCGAAGTTTTGGGTGCATAACCCCCACCCCCCCCACCCCCCCCCCCCTTGCCCTGACCCGAAATTCCCGATCCCCAAGAGCAGCAGTCGAGTCTGGGGCCAAGAATCTTATGCAGTTCCTGGTTGGGTAAGATAGCTGTAATGTACCTGTGTTAGACTCTTGAGGCAAGCGTTTCTTGCAACAAGGTACCCATAATGCTTTCGCGGAAGGGCTCAGATATTCTCAGGGTTCACACTCCAATTGTTTTCTTTGCGCCTAACTCGCATTTCTGCACCAGCGAGGTGCAGCCAACGCAGCCGTGTCCGATACTGACTTCTGGCTGGGCCTACGGGGGCAGTTTCCGGGTGTTCCGCAGGCAGCGGTGGAGCAGCCATGGGCTCAGCTCCCAAAAAAGCACGCCCCTTCTATTTGTCTTTAGCAAAGCAATTATCTGGGGTTGGTTCGGGGCCAAAACGCCTCATTTCGAGTCGTAGAGCCGACTCACCGGAGTTGCCTTGGGGTAGGTGTGGGTGAGCACCACTACCCCAGATGGGGGGTCTGTGGTAGTGCTTCAGCATTCCTACCCCAAACCCCCTGGCAGTGGGACGGCTGCAGCCCTCTCCCTACGTCCCCCCTTTTGGGGTGATGTCGGGATAGGTATGGCCTAGTCCTTACATGAGCCCGGTAGCATGCAAGAAGCTCCTAAAGGCTCAGATAACCCACACCGGCGAGTTCACAGCACTTTGCACTTTCGTCTTTGGAGTCGCATGAGGCCCTGGTAGACGATGGGGACAGGTTGACTTAAACACACCGAACTTCCGAAAAAAAGGTTTCTTGCCAGAGTCCTCGGGGCATATAACGGCCCTATAAACCCTGAACCCTGACTAACCCAAACATCGCTAAGCCACAACACAGGCAAGCCCTAAGCCCTAAGAGTCCCCAAGGCCCGAAAGCCTAAACCCTAAACACCCCCTAAACCCGAAACCCGAAACACCCCTAAACACCCCCAAGTACCCCCTCAGAACCTCCCGAAGCCCTAAACCCTAAATCCCAAACCCTAAACACCCCTAAACACCCCTGAGAACCCCCCTAAGCCGCACTTAGTCCCTGAGGCTGCGCCAGCGCTTCGCACGCTGCACCTCGAAGGTGCGGAGTTGGCACGGCAAAGACGTGCAGGGTGGCCAGGGCGAGGGACTCTTGTCTGAGTTTAGGGTTTAGGGTTTAGGGTTTAGGGTTTAGGGTTTAGGGTTTAGGGTTTAGGGTTTAGGGTTTAGGGTTTAGGGTTTAGTGTGAAGATTAAGGGTGTCGTGGGGGTAATGGGGAGGGCTTCGGGATTGAAACTGACTGAACCTTGGGGTTCAGTGTATTTGCATGCTGCCAGCTGCTGCCAGCTTCTCATGTCTTGCTTGGAGCCTAGGGTTTGGGGTTTAGGGTTTAGGATTTAGGGTTTAGGGTTTAGGATTTAGGGTTTACGTGTATAAACTGGACATCAGAGCAAATCCAACAGCATTTCAGCCGACTCACACGAGCAAGAGGCAATCGAGGCACTGTTCATGCCCAACTCATGGATGGATGTTCATGAATCCTGTACTAGCTTTGTCAATTCTGCATAGCTTTTGAGAGCTGTCGATTCACTCTGTTGTTGTTGCTGTTGTGGTGGTGGTGGTGGTGGCATGCAGTCCCACGGTACTGACACTGCTTCACGCGGATATCAGCTACTAACCCACGTAAGCTAAATCCTACTTGCCATGGCTTGACTTGGTAGCCCAGTGGTACCCGGTGTCCTTTTTTTGGTTCAAAATTCCCTTAGATTCTAAAGTAGCCAACCCCCAAAAGGGTGCCCCTATCATAACATGGTTACTGGGCGACCAAGTTTAAAACGACCGACTGCACTTTGCTCCGCTCAGGGAAGCTGGTGATCGAACTGCAAGACGGTCAATGTGTTGAGCTGCCCGGCCGCCTGGGGCCCCAAACCCTAAACCTTTACAGGTTTAGGGTTTAGGGTTTAGGGTTTAGGGTTTAGGGTTTAGGGCTTAGGGTTTAGGGTTTAGGGTTTAGGGTTTAGGGTTTAGGGACCCCAGTAGGGCTTACAGGGCTTATAGGGCTTAAAGGGCTAGTAGGGTTCGTAGGGCTTTGTAGGGGTTGTGAAGGTTTATGGTTTAGGTTTGGAACGGGATAAGGGTATGCAGCGGCTCGAAAGGGGGCTTGAAGGCAGGAGGGCGGATATCCCTCCTTCCAAAACGCTCCCAACATCATGTTCTGGTGAGCGATCAGTAACCCTAATTTATAAGCCCTTAACCCTAATCCCTTAAAGCAGGAGCTTCCATAAGGTCTGGGTTCCAAAGTACTCTGAAGGTACTGCGGCCTGCACTTGTGGGCTAAACCTTCCTTTCCTTTCCTGTGCTTTCAGCGTCAGCTGGTGCTGGCCTGGGGGCTAAGCCCTATAAACCCCAAACCCCAAGCCCTAAACCCTAAACCCTAAACCCTAAACCCTAAACCCTATAAACCCAAAACCCGAAACCCTAAACCCCAAAACCCTAAGCACTTCAGGATGGGCAGTGCTTGCTCGATGGAAAGGGGCCACGGTTTAGGGTTTAGGGCTTAGGGCTTAGGGTTTAGGGTTTAG